TGAAAATTTTGATGATCTCCACGTCATAGTTGGCAAATGCTCTTTGAAACTCAACCACATAAATACCTTTACAAATACTCACTGCTTTCCAAAAGTAATACTGGGCATGTCCCAGAGCATTCCCAGTAACAGCAATCCTAGCTATTCTATAATGATCTTCTACAAGTTATGAGATTCATCACAAAGGTAAGACACCCTTTTAAGGTTAAGGGCAGGGCAAACAAAACTGGAGAACAGAGACATGTTGTGATGTCTTACCATAATCCACCTGAAAAGATACCTTTTTAGTGATTTTAATCTATTTTAATGTTAACTTTAGGTCTCAAACAACCAGGGTACCTCCTTTCCCAATAATATAATGCTAGCTGTGTCCTCAGCTTTGCAATATATAGTTGAAATTTTCCTGCTTATCAGTCTATATGGATGACCCTTTTTTTTTTCACTTCACCAAAGCTTTATCCCTGACCTGTCTGTGGCCTCCACAGAACATTTGGACTTAGATTAAATTAAAAGCAACAAGGGGACATTTGGAAACTCTTGCTTGTACTCTATCTTGTTTTAGGATGATCAGATCAAATGGCTGCCTTACTGATTTTCCCTTCCATCTCACAATTTGGACTAATGTGTGTTGATCTGTAGCTTTAAAGATTCACTGAGGATTTTGCCACAAAATGTGGAAAAAACTTCATGGAGCATGAAAACTGCAAGACGCTGCAAATATCTCCAGCTTCACTGCAGATAGGCAGCCTTTAATTGACCTTCACAACACTTGAACCCCCGTCACTGGATCACAGCCCACTTGGATTGGTCTGCCACTGAAAACAAATACAGCCGCCCTCACATTTTCAGCATCTATTTCTTCAAACGTCTTTTTAATGAACAAGAGAAGTCACTCCATGATGAGCCACAAGACGCACATGCAAATACGCTCTTGGCAAGACGCACAGAGCTAGATGAGCTAAACCCTATAACGATTAAACAACCTTCATTTAAACCCCCACGCATTGAATCGTCGCTGATCAATTAGCATGATTTACAGTGGTGGCTCTGGACACCGACGCTCCTGTAAACACTGACTCTGTGTCCTATGGTGGGATAGACCTTCCTTCATCACGCCCAGGGGATGACTTGTGGCAGAATGAACAGCCATTTGGACCCTCATCCCTTTCCGCTGTGAGTCTTTGGGTGGAAATATGAGGCTTGACTCAACACTCTGATGACACTCAGCCATCTGTTGTTGTGTTAAGTGTGTTGGGGCATGAAGTGGAGAGAAAACACACAACTAATGATTTGTTCCCCCTCCTCCCAACTTTCCTTTAAAATACAAATGTGAGGTGTGCAGCTGTCGTTGTACATTAATGGACACACTAATGCAGAAGAACACACCTCCTTCCTCGGTCCCCTGGAAATAGCAGAACTGAGCCCTATTTCACTTCATAGAACCAAACTGGGGAATCTAATAAATAATAGACAGAGAGCGGGAGGGGAGTTAGCGATACGATGACAAGTCAATGCCTCTTTTCTCTCTAGTACACCTCCAAAGCACCTCTGAGTCTCCTCCATTCTTCACATGGCGAACGGAGACCAATGGATTAAAACTGCATAGCGCACACACACACACACGGCTAAAACGAACAGCTCTAAAAATACATCCCTTTCACCGAGACATGAAAGGAAACTGCCTTTCCCCTGTCCGGTATTGAGCAGCCATTGATTCCAAGACAAAGGCTACACCTCCTCAAAGAGGTAAGAAAAAAATAGCAATCATACAGGCAATTATTTTCAAATGTGCCTGCAGCAGCCGATAATGTCAGCGCGCCTCTCTCTTCCCTAAATAAGAAGAGGGGAGGGAAGGGAAGAGGAGGCGGGCGTCTGTGCTGCAGGTCTGGGCGCTGAAGACGAATGAGCCCATCCAGAGGGCGCTCAGACTTTCATCTGGGCAGCATGACACGGCGCCCCCATGCAGCGCGAGCCAGAGCTGGACCTGGAGGATAGAAGCATTCAGATAAAGACTATATCAGCTAGTCTAGATTCTCAGGTCAGCTCAGGGAAACAGCAGCAAGGCAAAGACTTTCTAAGGCCTGTTGCCTTACTTGTAGGCCAGACGCACGGGGACTCCTCAGCCTATATAATAGCTCTGTGTACGCGCTTTGGAGCTTCTAGACCAGAAGCAGATACAGCTTTCCTTTCTCTCTATCTGCAAGTCTGTCTTATACCCATGGCCTTTCATTTTGACGATAACCAACATCTGAGGATAGGGGTTTAGAAGGCTCTCTGCTGGGTCTATCCCTCCATGCTACTTTTTTGAATAGAAATCTTCACTGGATTCACTTCAAAGGAGGAAAAAAAAATCTAGAGACAGTGATTTAAAGGAGGAGCAAAGAAAAAAAGCACAACCCAAAAAAAGTTGTTGAAATCAAATCAGATAAATACAAGAAAGTGCCAAACCACAAAAAAAAAGGAATATTTACTCAATCATGGCAGCCATTATAATCATACAACCGGCTCGGAGAATTCCTTACGCCCCAGTTTTCAAAAGTTAACGGATGGCGAGAGGTAGAAAATGGGAGCAGCAGAGCATGGGTAAATGTGGAGTGATGGACAAACGGGTAGACAGAGCGAGGAGACAAAAGACAAAGAAACTCCTTACCTACTTGGAGCAAAACTTATGTGTTTGAGTGAAAAGCCCTGCGGCCTCTGCCTTAAGGCCCTGAGTCCATGCCTGGCCTATCACTTTAAGATCAAAAGCTAGCTCTTGCAAGACATATGGACTGAATAATGAATATGATTTAGTTCCACAAGGTTGAAAGGAGAGAGAATGATGTAACCCTTGCACTGCACCCTTGATGTTCATTATAAATGCAAATACCAGCATTTATTTGGGACCGCCTGCTGCTTAGACTTGTGTTTACCGCAACCTTTATAAAAAAAAAAATGTTTGTTACACAAACCAGCTAGCCTTTCTGTAGCTGTCAGTCTCTGCGATGGGACAGTGCATACATTAGCCTGTAAGCATAGTAGAGAGCAGCTTTTGTGATGTCTCATTTGAATAGGTTGACAGGCGGGTGTTGGTGGGTAGGTGGCTGGTAATGAATTATAAATATGAGATGGGTAAGAGACTTCACCCCCACCCCCCACGCAAAAACTGCTGAGGAAAGGTTAGTCAAAAAAAGTCAAACTCAGCCGGAGAAAAAGGAGACTCTCAATCTGCAATGGGCGGATGCTTCCACAGCATGATATCGTGGTGAAGCATTGTTCAAGCTAGATAAGGTATGTGTGATTGAGATATATGGAGGTAGATCGGTCTTAATTATCACAAATGCACATATGTGAGTCATGCATACACTGGACAAGATCCACACATGCACAGAATGATTTAGGTAAAAAACAAAACAATCCACACAAACACAGAACAAGGGCCACACATGCACAGAACAAAATTCACCATTTCTGGTCCATAAACAATTATAAATAAAATTATAATTGTTAATTTAATTTAAATAAATTAAATGTGGGATCTGGGGATAGCCATCCCACGTGGAGGACTTTCTTGTGAACGGCTTATACACGGGAGCTTTGTGATTGGTGGCAAACCATCCCCCGTTTAAAAAAAATAAAACTGTGTATCGAAGCACCTCAGGAGAGTCTCAAAAATCCACACACAAATGCAGGGAAGTTTAAAGACTACTGATAATTTGTAATTTCCTTTTTAATTGTTTATGGACCAGAAATAATTTGGTGAGTCTTGTTCTGTGCATATGTGGATCTTGTGTGCTTGCTTAAATCGTGTTGTGCATGTGCAGATCTTGAGCTGTGTGTGTGTGTGAATTTTTTTGTGCTTGTGTGAATCTTGCTGTGCATGTGTGGATCTTTCCCTGTGCGTGTATGAATCATATATGTGTATTTGTGAAAATTGAGACCAATCTAGCTCCATATTTCTAAAAGTCAAGGTGCATCTAAATACATTGCTACTTTGCAAGAAATGTGACAGTGTGAGGCCCACATATAAAGTCCTGTACCGACAGCAGCAGATGTTCAATCTGTGTCATGTTGGTCATGATCATCGCCTCCAAACTTCAAATTTGTATAAACCAATATATAGTTTGCAATATATAGTTGAAATTGTCTTACAACAATATTGAAATATTGTGTACTTTTCACAATAGAGTTGGCAATAAAGCTCAGCTCTATGCTTTTATATGGGAAAAAAGTCTGACTTTAATCTCAGAATTCTGACTTTTTTCTCAGAATTCTGATCTTAATCTCATCTTTTTCCCATATTAAACAGAAAGAAAATTTAAAAATAATTTTTTTTTGGACACACTCAACCTGTTAAGATGACTTCCTGGAAGAGGATTAGGGCCACTGTAAAAAAATGTTAACAGCTTTTTAAATTTTATTTCAGTTTTAAATGGGAAAAAAGTCTGACTTTAATCTCAGAATTCTGACTTTTTTCTCAGAATTCTTACTTAAATCTCACCTTTATCCCATATTAAACTAAAAAAAATTTTAAAATCTTAAGAATTCTGACTTTAATCTCAGAATTTTGACTTTAATCTCAAAATCCTGACTTTAATCTCAGAATTCTGACTTTAATCTCAGAATTCTGACTTTAATGTCAGAGTTCTGACTTTTTTCCTATATAAAATTGAAATAAAACTTAAAAATCAGTAATTTTTTTTTCCAGTCTTCTTCCGTAGCATGCAGCTCTGACTCCAATGTGGATTAATTTGCGACCTTAAACAGTAGCTTAATATCTGACTGATTATTTTTATAAGACGGTAACGCCATCTAGCTGCAATAATGTAGAACTACGACTTTGAGAGACTAAGGACAGAAGGAGCCTGGGTAAGGTTAATGTCATAATATACAGCAAACAACCACATTCGTTTAAATAACTTACTCAGTTGCTTTATTGTTTTTTTTTTTCTGAGTAAGAATTCACTGAAAACTCGTTAGTAGCCTATAAATGCAGCAGAAACTGAAGAGTTTAAGTATACCTGTCCACGTCTTCTGTTCGGGGATTAGGTAATATCTATTCCCCAAATGATCTGTCCCGACGTGTTCACGCACTACCCCAAAAGTTCGCCGTAGGAGGCCACCAATCTTGCTCATCTTTAGCGGACAATTCGGGGGTTCTGGAGAGAAATGTTTCCTCTGGTGACAGCACGCAGGTCTATGGACGCTCACGTTGCTACGACACAAACCCTGCCGTGTCATGATTGGCCATTTTTACAGCTCCAGCCAATCACAGAAGTTATTGTTTTTGCGTCACTAGCCAACATGGCGGCTTATTGTTTAGAATCGATAGGAAGCTAGGAATATAGGAGCTTTTTCCTAAAATAACGAACAGAAGTTCAAAAGTATCACTTTTTAAATACACAGTACGATTTAAGGCAAACTGTATTTAAATAAAATGCTTCATATAATACTGTTGTATGTCCGCGTGGATTATAAGATGACTTCAAGTAGGTGACATGCTAGCTTTGAAAGTAGTTAGCTACCATTAGCACTAAATATATAGTTTTGAATATCAGAACCAGATTTCTTTAGGTTGCAGCGATGTTAGGGTTCCTATCAGCGAGGCAGACTGGTCTGGACGATCCACTGCGGCTTAGACGTGCAGAATCAACGAGAAGGTGAGAAAAAATAAAAATAAAACAACTTCCCAGATTGATATTTGCTGCCTTCGTGTGGTCTGGTAAAGATGACCCTTAGCATTTCTAAACTGGAACTGACCAGCGCGTTGTGTTCAAGTGCTTTTTTTTTTTATTGAGGAGAGAAACATGTTAAATCCAAAGATGAACATGTCCTGCTACTGGAGGAATTCATCGACTGACTGCCAGCGAACATCTGATAAAATTAAACAATAACGGTCATTTTGAAAATTACAGAAGTTTAAATGGTGATATTTTGTTAATATACACTATATTGCCAAAAGTATT